TTTTTTAAATTAAATTCAATCAACACACAAATATTTTCTACAGAATGACATAGCTTTGAGTTCTCTATTGTCTTGAGGGATACGCCGGAGCGGGACCCTTCCCGTCAAGTACAAAAAAATAAATTTACAAAAATAATTTTTTTTTCTTTAATCAATTTTGTTTAATTCTTTAGAGTGAAATAAAATATTAAAATCTTATCAATAATTTGCACCATTAATATAAGGTAACCATTTTTTTAAAACGGATAGTGTAGGGTGAAATAAAATATTAAAATCTTCCCTACTCGTAATCGACTCCTGAATCCAATTCTGTTTGTAAAGACCAATTTTCTCAAACAAAAAGATTTTTCCAATATTTCCCCAAATAAACATTGGTGGCGACTGCATTGTTTTTAAACATCCAATTTCATTCGCTGTCACGTCGCGAATCGGTTGCGACAGCAGGCGACTCAACTGGGGACATTTAAAGAGTCAAGCCTATTTTATTAGTTGTGCAAATTATTCCTAATTTTTTTATTTGTTTCATCCATCTCTTATTTGTTTTATTTTTTTTATACCTTTTGTGTAAATACTATTATTGAACATTATGTTATACATCTATGTTTGTCATGTGTTGCTGGTATATTTATAGCTGAATTAATAAATTTGTATCTTGTTTGGTTTTAACCTTAGAGTAAACAACCTTTGTATATATTCTATTTTTTCTTTGTTTTGCAGCTTTGGAAATTTAGTTATTATAGGATGTACATGTTTGTATGCTCCTTTCACACACTGTACTTACATAACTCACACACAATTATGAGTGGGCCCTATACCCGGGTCTGAGTGAAACATAAGATTAGGTAAGAAGTTGTGTAGTGGTATCCATTTTGGATGTATTTCCTGTTTGATTATCATGAAATCCTCATTTAGAGCCTGACTCTTTCGAGATTGTAGTCATTGCAGATGTACATCTTGTTTGACTATTTTATTTCGAAACGAGATCTGAGCTCTAGAGACCAAGGTTCTCATAGTTATAGAACCACCAAAATGAGAGTTCCCACATATTACTAAAACCCCTTGACAATAAGGTTTTGCAATTTAACAGAAACCTATTCAGGACACAAAGGGAGCACATATACTTCTTACTTTTATTCCCATTCTTTATGTTTCCATTATTTTAAAATCATCACAAATTCATATTTCAACTATTCATGCAAATGCATAATGAATCATGATAGCCATAAATATTATCTACATCATTTTCTTTATTTTTTTATTATTTAAAAATAAAATAAAAAATAGCATGCATTATTCTTCGTACTCACTCATTTACATTGTCTATTTTACACCATTGTAGGAAAGTTTTGTTGGAGAACTGTTGAATTTTAGTTTGATTGTAAATATCATTGTTATAAATATGGGATCAAATCACAGCGAGACACCATCATCGATGTTGAGGAAAACTTTGCACCTCAAAGCTAAAAAGCCTGAAATTGAGAGTTTGAAGGTTCTGGGCCGCATGTTGAAGAAACCACAACGATTGACCCTAACTAGGATGTACAAGAATGTCCTGGATTTATTGGAGATGGATGTTCAAGTGGAGGCAATCACAACAATTGCTCAATATTATGATTCACGTCTGCGATGCTTCGCTTTTCAAGATTTTCAGTTAGCCCCTACATTGGAAGAATTTGAGCGAATCTTTGGGCTATCTTTAGAAGATGAGAAGCCCTGTCGTAACATTGGGCATTACCCTTCCATGCACGTTGTTGCCGAGATTTTGAAAGTTCAGGTGAGAGACTTACAGGAAATGAGGCAAATTCGGAATGAAACTATGGGATTTTCAAGAAGTATCTAGAAGAACATCTTCCCTACTTAGCAAAAGTAGGGAAATGAGACACTTTCATCGATGTGTTGGCCCTCACATTTTATGTCATGAAGGGAAAGATGGATTGTAATTGTTACATCCACGAGTACCTTGCAGAGGCACATTGGGTAAATCCCCACATTGGTAAACCAAAGCTTCTATTCTCGCCCATTCAGGATACCATCAGATACTTTTTCCATCAACTGATACATTAGCCAAAGTTTGCACCCACTTTTAGCTTTCAACTAATACATCCGAAAATCAGCGATTGGGCACGCTGCTTTGTATCCTCTATTAAACATATGAGCAGTGAGCCATATGAACAACATTGGTAAACAAGCACTGAGGTAAACCATTTTAATTGTAAAATTCTTCTTGACCTTTTTGAAGGTTTGTACTGGAAACTTGGATACCAATTCTTGTGCTGGGAAACTGGGATACCAGCATATCTCTTTTTCTTGGAAATTGAGAGTAGCTTGAAAACCCTTGTGTGATAGGGTTTTGGAATCCTAAAAGGTTAGGATTTCGTATTGGGAAACTAGGATACCAGGTGAGAATTTGTGTAAGGGGTAGATAAGGAAACAAGGATACTAGAGAACTCCTTGTACATAAGTTTCATATAGGAGTTTCCCGTCGAATTTCAATATTCGATATTAGGGCCCGTGTTTTTTTCCCCTTTGGGTTTTCCACATAAGAACTATTGTGTCAATATCTCTCTATCCTTATCTTGATTTATTGCTTTGAGTTCATTTTTAATTAGAAAATTATTTTTATAAAACTCAATTCACCCTCCCCCTCTTGAGTTCATTCGGGACCAACAGAAAGAATAGCAGAGGAGAAGACAACAAGAAGAGAAATACTGAGGATTGGCTAGGGTTAGACTAGGCCTATATTTAAAGCTGAAGTTTTGGGCTGAGCTTCGTAGAATCGCTAACTCATTATTGACTCATGGATGACTCAAGGCTGACTCAACCTAATCCAATTTAATATTATCATACACATAAGGATAAATATTATTATTTAGAAATTTATCACTATTACTATTTTCACAAATTATTATTGATATATCTTAACGGTTACAAAAAAATTAAAGAAAAATCATTATCAATTAAATCAATATTACTAACAATCAATAACAAACAATATCAAAGCTTATGACACCACTTTATACTAAACCCAATATATCTAACATCATAAAATATACGTAAGGGTATACATTATTAAATTTAATTTTATTATTTCTATTTTATTTTATTTTATTTTATTATTACTATATTTTGTTATTATATTATATTATTATAAATTTGGGATATTATAGAAAATGTGTAAGGCGGGTTCAGGGGAGCCCATGGCTGGGAACTAGCATCAATGAGTTAAGCTAGACCAACCACATTAAATGAATCCAACACCATATCACAACCCAAAATTTTAAAAATTAGGTTCATAGGACCATGGGGAGCCCGTTGCGGGGGACCACCGCCAATTCGTTAAGCTAGACCAACCACACCGAGTGAATCCGACACCATGTCACAACCCAAAACCTTAAGGAATTGGGTTTATGGGTTCATTCACTTATATTCCCTTCACTTAGTCATTATCAACCAATGTGAGACTCATCACACTTGAATAGCCCAACAATAATCTCCCACCAAGTGTGAAACCCAATATTGGTATGCTCCCCCTCAACCAAGTACCTCATGGCAAAGTACTTAACCCGCCTCCTAGCCAAACACTTGATTAGCCCGAACCCAATCCAGCTCTGATACTACTATCAGGCGGATCCAGGGGGAGCCCGTGGCAGGGGACCACCACCAATGGGATAAGCTAGACCAACCACATCAAATGAATCTGACACCATGTCACAACCCAAAATCTTAAGGCTTAGGTTCATGGGTCCATTCACTTATATTCACTCCACTTAGCCCATCACCATTACCATTATCAATGTGAAACTCGTTACACTTGAATAACCCACTGTCAGGGGAGTCTAGGAGGAGCCCGTGGCGGGGGACAATTACCAATGGGCTAAGCTACACCAACCATAGCAAGTGAGTCTGACACTATGTCTCAACCAAAAATCTTAAGACATTGGATTCATAGGTCCATCCACTTATATCCACTTTACTTAGCTCATTACCAACCAATGTGAGATACATCACACTTGAATAATCCAACAATCTCCCCCTCAAGTGTGATACCCACTATTGGTATATGCTCCCCCTCAACTGAGTACTCAGTCCAAAGTATTCAACCCGCCTGTAAAGAACTATGTTAACCCAAAACCTTAAAGGTATTGGTTGAGGACCTCTTTTAATAGTTTATATTATTCTCTAACACACCCCCTCACGCAAGAGCCATTTGGGCTTGAAGTGTGGAAATTGCACAAGCTCAATTTTTTATTTTACCTTATGCTTATTTAATTCCACTAGAAAGTGGGGGCGGTGATAATCGAACTCGTGACCTTATGGTCACTGAAGCTCTGATACCATGTAAAGAACCAATTTAACCCAAAAGCTTAAGCTGATAGGTGAGACTATATTAATGATTTTATATATTTCTAACACCGCCTCTAGCCAATCACCAAGCTAGCTCGAGCGCTACCCGACTAAATGGTGAAGCATTATCAAGCGGGTTCTGGTGAAGCCCGTGATGTGGACCACCACCAATGGATTAAGCTAGACCAACCATACTAAATGGGTTCGACACCATGTCACAATTTAAAATCTTAAGGCTTGAGTTCATGGATCTATTCACTTATATCTACTTCACTTAATTCATTACCAACTAATGTGGAACTCATCACACTTAATTAACCCAACAAAATGAACTGCAGCCCTACCTATAAATAGTGATTTAAACCTTATATGTTAAAACAAAATGGTTAAATAAGACGAGATAATTCTTACAGCAAGTTACTCCAATAACATTATATTTGAGAATAATGGACTAAACACTAACATGCTGCGTATTTATTTCCCTAACGAATTCGAGAAATAATACTATTTAAAAAGAATGAGAAATGTAAACTACTCTACAGAAATCTGCCTCAATTTGACATGAGGGTATCCTGTCAATTGTGAGTTAGGAAGTTTGTAGCTTATTTTCAGACTGAATTATTAGATGTGGCCAAAAGAGAAAATACTACAGGAACTCATTCGATCAGTTTTGATTCACTTTTTCTCGATTTATAAATGATTCGTGGTCTCTTGGTTCTCTTCACTGATGGAGGTCCATTGTTTCTACAATGCTTCATTGTTGTCTTGTTATTCTTTTCAACATTGTGCTTAATGCTGTCCGTTACTCTTGTTTTCAGTTTAGATGCTGCTGCTTGAGAATTAGCAATTCCTCGTGGACTTTTTTCTTCATGCCAAGGATTATTCTGCTCTCAGTTTCAATTTCAAAAGTAAAAATGAATTAGATACACTAAAATAAGCTACTTGAAGATAAAGTAATGCAATATATTTGTCATACAAGCAAAGAAATGTAATTATTCTAATCAAGAGGATTCTCAAGTTTCAATGCCACCAAATCATCAAAATGCCTCAATCAATTTCACGTTTGAATTTTCACATACCTTGAGATCTTTGATGCATTCATTTCTGTTATGGGAGAATATACTTGATAGAGAGGATGTACAAATGCATCCTTTTTCCTGTTGAAAACTTTTGGCTGCATCTTCCAGTGCCAACATGTCATTCCTCTTAAAAATAGTATATTTTCTCCCACATAAACAAGTCTGTGATGCAATGTCTGAATCGCATAATAAGCAGAGTCAAAAAAACGTATGTTAATAAGTCATCGTGATGCTAACAAAATGAAAATTTAATATGGCTCAAATCATCAATAAGTCTGCATCTACATAGTAAAAAAACCACTCCCCGTTAAACTCGATTAGTGAATGTAGGGCAGAGGCAATCCTTGTACGCAGCCTTACCATTGCATAATTGCAAAGAGACTGTTTTCAGGATTCGAACCCATGACCTTTCAGTCATGAAAGAACAGCTTTATCACTACTCCGGTTCATCCCTTTCTGCATCTACATAGTAATGGAAAGGAAATTTACTTATCAATAACTAAGGCAATTGATTTTAAATAACTTCTCAAAATGAATATAATAATGATGTCTCATACCATGAAAAAGACAAATTGGATGAGAATAGCAGTACTTGCACTGCAAGTAAGCTACATAACAATCCTTATGGCAAAGGCTGCATATCAGAGAACCTAATGTATTTGAAGAGCTTGACAATTTTCTTGGACTATTCAATCGCAATAGTGATGCCTTATAAAATTGCATAAGATGCAAGAAAGACAGCACAATAGCATGATAAGATGCCATGTCTTCAGGTTTGTTCTTGGAACTTCTGACTTTTGAGGACTTGTAAACCAGCATTGCCTCTTTACAAAGTAGTTCCTCATAAGGAATCATAGGCAACATTTTAAGATGTGCATAACGCCTGCTAGCTGCAGCTCCAAGTGGAAACCAATCACCAATAGCAAAGTTTACTGCTTCTCCACAGTTAAAACCTAAAAAATCAACAAAAAGAATCAAATAAATAGTAAATGCTCATTTGTGAAATTTGTATGTCTCTCTCTATAATCTATATGTGAAGGGAAAAATTCACAGAGAAATATAGATTACCATGACTAAATCCAGCATGATATGCTCTAGGAAAGGTGATGACAAACTCTCCTGGCTTCTGCACAGCCTTGTAAACTGCCACATCATGTTGTAACAAGACATTTGGAGGGAACATGGTTGTTTTATGTGCAAGAAATCTGAATGCTTCATCCTCTCCTTGTTTTGTTAAGATCTTATTGCAATACACATGATGTAAGATAGTCTTTTCAAATTGAGAGGCTGCATAGCTAGGTACCCCATACCAAGTTTTATTTGCACCAGAGTGATGATAATTTATGCTGCAAAGAAGACAGTAATACATATTAAAATATGAGTTTAGTAATATTAAACAATGGCTGAGGCAGTGGAGAAATAGATTGTTGTGAGATATACCTGTACAAATAGTGATCTTCTACATGCCATGCAAACATACTGAACAGCATCCCAATGTAAAGCATAGGATCAGTTATTCCCTAAAATTTCACATTAGAATTAGAATAAAAGAAATTATAACTTTTAAATTCAGCATATGTTTCAAAAATGCTTTCTTACTGGAATTTCCTTGTCAACTAAACGCAATGGGGACTGCAACAGCCGTGAGAAATTCTGAAATCAATGAAGAAATTAAAGATCTTGAAACCCAATGGTTCACAATCTAAAATTTATTGTAACTTGCAGGAGCACAGGATGATAAGAGAACAGTAAGAACAAAAAGTCTGAAAAACAACCTGCAAATTCCATTTGCTTGTTCCAAGCCTGTCATGAGGATCACATGAAAAGGCACTACCCTCAACATTGATTCCATACTCAACTGTTCCTTTATCTTTATGCACCATCTCACGCCAGAACTCTTTTTCCACATATGAACAAGGAAGACCTTCAGAACTGCAAAATCTACTGAAAAAGACCTTGTTTGCTAGAGCTTCAAATTCATGATATGTATATTTTCTGGTAGAAACAATAACAACCAACAACAATTAATTTTATTTTACATGATTTAATTAGTATAAAAGCTTGAAAGCATGATATTCTTTTTACCTTCCTCTCATAGAAAAGGTTATTATATCCTTCTCATCATTCCATTTAGATAGCCGAAGAGGCTGTACAATTGTTTCAAACTTGAAGTCCCTCTTCTCATTCATTAAGACAGAACCAGCAGGATTCAAGGCAGCAATTGGAGAAACAATTTTGCATATACCTGAAATATGAGGATGAAACAATAAGCATACAAGCAAAAAGACATAAAAATACAGAAAGTACTTGTAATAATGTTGAACATAAGTTTATCCTAGCCGTTATAGCATGTGCATGATATATATAGCATATTTTTCAACCATACTAATATTACATCAATTTCTTATACATGGGAAATTCTTGGTTAAATCATTTTAATGACTGATGTATCCCCCCCTAATAAACACAGTGATGAACTAAAAGAAAATAATCCATAATCTGTTATGACATAGCATACCATATTTAGAAGCCTGAGGAGCAATCTTGTGTAGATAAACTAAAGGATTCTCAAACTCCTGCTCTGATGGATGGTATACTGGACACTCTGGAATACTATTGGTCCATTCTAGATCACCCAAATCATATTTACTCAATTTGTGAGAGATAATTGAACTTTTACAAGCCATTGTTCTCCTTCTTCTTCTTCTTCTTCTTCTTCTTCTTCCATATCTGGCAACTTTTGGAACACCCATCTTATTTGTTCTTCTTTATATAACAAGCATTACTACCATAGCATCTAATTCTTCTCCAGTGAGGTGACATCAATTTTCACCCATCAATTTGGTCTTACAGGCAGACATGACTCAATAACTGCCAAAGGTTAACTACTGGTACCAGAAATAAACTGCATAGCAACGGACGTCAGTTATTGGACGGTCCTTACATGAACACATGAGATGCGGGGGACTTTAACATAAAAGTCATGTTGACACGTAAGTGTATCTTACCATGTTAAAAAAAAAATTAATATGGTCATGTCAGAAATTATAATTATTTAAATATGAATTAATAGTGATAAAGGAAGACAGAGAATAATTATAAAAGATCGTGTTTAACAAATAAGTAAAAAAAAAAGATTGCATTAGGCATAATCATTGCTTTTTCTCTTATTTTTTGCCTTAAGAATTCAAGTATTTGATATCATTTAAGTTGGATGAATAATATTGTACTATACAATTGCTTAAATGCTAACGTTAGTTATAAAACATTTTTATGATTTTGAATTTTTTTTCGAAGTATTACTAAATAATATAAAATATATGAATTCTTTCATTAAAAAAAATAATCTTTAAATCATAATTGATGATAATAAATTTTACATTTTTATAATAATAATGGGAACACTTTATCCAAGGTTTAAATTCATTTAAATACAACATAAATATGGCAATAAAAAGTCAAAAGAAAATAAGACGAACAGTAATCGATAAACCATTTTTTATCATTGGTAAAAGCTTTCATTTGAAGAATTGGATTTCACAATTGGGAAATGTTATAGTTAATATATTTTTTTTTACTACTTGTTGTTACTAAATTTTAACTATTGATTTCTGTTAATCTAACGGTTATAATTTATTAAGTCACATTTATTAATTAATTATTAATTCTAATAAATTATAACCATTAAATTGACAGAAATCAACGGTTAAAGTAATAAGTACTTACAATTGTATGTATAAAAGTCGCCACTGTTACGTTTCTTTTGTAAATACATCAGTTTCGAAAATTATCGAATCAATTGGATTCATCTAATTTGCAATTATTCCAAAATGACGACTTCGTCCTTTTTTTAAGAATTGAATTTTAATTTCGATTCAATCATAAATCATTTAAGGAAAAAATGAAGTTTTAAGAAACCCTAATTTTTGAAAAATCAAGAATTTATTCATAACCATACATGTAAAACATGAATTCCTAAACCAGGCTCAATTTTACATTTTTAAATTTGAAGGATTCTGAAAATCACGCTTGAGAAATAATTGAAATGTTAATTATTATTTGATTAAACAAATTTATTTCTAGTTATTTTTTAAAATAATAATGGGAGGGGTTATATTTACAACCCAAATAGTTTACAAACTTTTACAATCATATCTTAACCGTTAATTTTCGTCAATCAATGATTGTCATTTATTGTGAATTAATAATTAATTAATAAATTTAATTTGCGAAAATCTTAACCGTTGATTGACGGAAATCAACGGTTAAGATATGATTGTAAGAAGTTGTAAACGAAAATAGGTTGTAAATATAACTTTTCCCAATAATAATAGTTGTTGTTATTTACGATTTTAATTATTAATAATATTTATTATTTACAACGCTAATTAGTATTTATGTAGAGCAATGAAATAGTAGTGTGAGAGTTAGAGAAATTTGAGATAGATGATTAACATCCTATCATGTGATAGGATTGAGTTAAACTAACATGGAGTAATGAGATTGGTGTCGTCTCCACTCCATGCGAGTTCACTGCATTAATAAGCAAATTATTACTGAATTGGTAATTGAGTTTTATAAGAGTTATGTGGTAGGAAAAGTGATTGTGTAATGTTATAGAGATTCGTTTTACGTGCCATAATTTTTTTTTTCGTTTTTCTTCAAAAAGTGTGGGTCCCACAAAATATTGTGTGTGTAGGAAAGTTTGTTGTGTCATGTTAAATGACACATGCAGACCCCTTAGTAATTTAAAAAAAAAAAGAGTCAATAGATCATATCCCATGCGACTTGAAAAGGAAAAAATAGATCATTGAGTTGGTAAATTACTAAGGGGTCTGCATTTGTCATTTCACATTACTAAGGGGAAATGATCTAAATTTTAACTATTGATTTCTGTTAATCTAACGGTTATAATTTATTAAGTCACATTTATTAATTAATTATTAATTCTAATAAATTATAACCATTAAATTGACAGAAATCAATAACAAGTACTTACAATTGTATGTATGAAAGTCGCCACTGTTACGTTTCTTTTGTAAAAACATCAGTTTCGAAAATTATCGAATCAATTGGATTCATCTAATTTGCAATTATTCCAAAATGACGACTTCGTCCTTTTTTTAAGAATTGAATTTTAATTTCGATTCAATCATAAATCATTTAAGGAAAAAATGAAGTTTTAAGAAACCCTAATTTTTGAAAAATCAAGAATTTATTCATAACCATACATGTAAAACATGAATTCCTAAACCAGGCTCAATTTTACATTTTTAAATTTGAAGGATTCTGAAAATCACGCTTGAGAAATAATTGAAATGTTAATTATTATTTGATTAAACAAATTTATTTCTAGTTACTTTTTAAAATAATAATGGGAGGGGTTATATTTACAACTCAAATAGTTTACAAACTTTTACAATCATATCTTAACCGTTAATTTTCGTCAATCAATGATCGTCATTTATTGTGAATTAATAATTAATTAATAAATTTAATTTGCGAAAATCTTAACCGTTGATTGACGGAAATCAACGGTTAAGATATGATTGTAAGAAGTTGTAAACGAAAATAGGTTGTAAATATAACTTTTCCCAATAATAATAGTTGTTGTTATTTACGATTTTAATTATTAATAATATTTATTATTTACAACGCTAATTAGTATTTATGTAGAGCAATGAAATAGTAGTGTGAGAGTTAGAGAAATTTGAGATAGATGATTAACATCCTATCATGTGATAGGATTGAGTTAAACTAACATGGAGTAATGAGATTGGTCTCGTCTCCACTCCATGCGAGTTCACTGCATTAATAAGCAAATTATTACTGAATTGGTAATTGAGTTTTATAAGAGTTATGTGGTAGGAAAAGTGATTGTGTAATGTTATAGAGATTCGTTTTGCGTGCCATAATTTTTTTTTCTTCAAAAAGTGTGGGTCCCACAAAATATTGTGTGTGTAGGAAAGTTTGTTGTGTCATGTTAAATGACAAATGCAGACCCCTTAGTAATTTAAAAAAAAAAGAGTCAATAGATCATTTCCCATGCGACTTGAAAAGGAAAAAATAGATCATTGAGTTGGTAAATTACTAAGGGGTCTGCATTTGTCATTTCACATTACTAAGGGGAAATGATCTAAATTTTAACTATTGATTTCTGTTTATCTAACGGTTATAATTTATTAAGTCACATTTATTAATTAATTATTAATTCTAATAAATTATAACCATTAAATTCACAGAAACCAACGGTTAAAGTAATAAGTACTTACAATTGTATGTATAAAAGTCGCCACTGTTACGTTTCTTTCGTAAAAACATCAGTTTCGAAAATTATCGAATCAATTGGATTCATCTAATTTGCAATTATTCCAAAATGACGACTTCGTCCTTTTTTTAAGAATTGAATTTTAATTTCGATTCAATCATAAATCATTTAAGGAAAAAATGAAGTTTTAAGAAACCCTAATTTTTGAAAAATCAAGAATTTATTCATAACCATACATGTAAAACATGAATTCCTAAACCAGGCTCAATTTTACATTTTTAAATTTGAAGGATTCTGAAAATCACGCTTGAGAAATAATTGAAATGTTAATTATTATTTGATTAAACAAATTTATTTCTAGTTATTTTTTAAAATAATAATGGGAGGGGTTATATTTACAACCCAAATAGTTTACAAACTTTTACAATCATATCTTAACCGTTAATTTTCGTCAATCAATGATTGTCATTTATTGTGAATTAATAATTAATTAATAAATTTAATTTGCGAAAATCTTAACCGTTGATTGACGGAAATCAACGGTTAAGATATGATTGTAAGAAGTTGTAAACGAAAATAGGTTGTAAACAAGGATTGTCAACAGAATGGGCTTTAAGCGCACTTCTAGTATTGGCAGATATTTAGGCTCTATTGTTAAACAAGGGAGATATATTAAAGCAGACTATGGAGCTATCAAGGATAGGATATCAAAACTGGATGGTTGGAAAAGCCATTGCCTTTCTTTTGCTGGTCGAGTTACTTTGGTGAAATCGGTCATTGCTGCAATCCCTTCTTTCCATATGCAGAATGGTCTTTTACCAGTAACATTTTGTGATGAAATTGAGCAGATACAAAGGGCTTTCATTTGGGGAGATCAGGATAGCAGAAGGCGGGCTCATTTAGTAGCTTGGGATCAAATGTATAAACCCAAAGATAGAGGTGGTTTGGGAATAATTAACCTTCGACTCCAAAATGAAGCTTATATTCATAAACTGGCGTGGAAGGTGTTAACTAAGAAAGATGATTTATGGGTTAAGATTTTAGTAGCCAAGTATGGTAGAGGTCAAGACTTAAGGAGAGGTATAAAGGCAAAATCATATGACTCTAAACTTTGGCGTGATCTTGCTAAATGTTGGAGTAATTTCCTTGCTGGTCTTAGATGGGAAATAGCAGATGGTTCTGAAGTAAAGCTTTGGACTGATAACTAGTTGGGATGGGAGGAAAATTTGCAGCAGTTGTCGAGCAATCAGGTGCCGTGGGAGGAGAGTCAGAAATCAATTGCAGATTACATGGTGGATGATGGTTTCCGTCTTGAAGTTGTTCATCAATTTCTGGAGTCAGATTTGGCTGATGCAGTAACAAATCATCTCAGGCTTATTCTAAGGAATGGGGAGGATAGATTAGTTTGGATCAATAATC